ACAACCCCTCCCCACTCCTAGCGCCCCAGCATGACCCCGGTCTCTACGACAATGCACTGGGCATTGAATCTTTCACTTTGTCTGATGGTCAGCAACAGCACCACTCACAGGGCATCAGCCCCGCCCACAGTCCATATATCTCTCCGCAGTTGATGCCTCAACAGCCCACAGATATGATTCCCAACGTGCCGTACATCTCTGCTCCTGCGGGCAACACGCAGTATCCCACCCCACCGACCGATATGTACGGGGAGGGTATGATGGTCCAAGGAAACAGTGGCATGGGAGATATAGGTCAAGCATCGCAAATGGCGCCACCCTCTATCAACGTGGAATTCGCACCCCCGGCGAAGAATCTCAACCTCCCGCAGACGAAGCCCAGTGCGGACTTGGACTCTTTGAGTCCACCCGTTGCCATGCGTAAGTTGTCACTGCTCGGCCTGTTCTTTGCGGTCTCTCGGACAAAGCTAATTGTGAGCTTATAGGCTCTCGCATGCGTAGTAAGTCGGACCCATATGCCCACCCGGCTTCTCGCGCACGGTCATCATCTACTTCGACCAGCCTGGAGCCGTTTGTGCCTCCATCACCCCGGTCGCTGTCGCCTTTTGATACCATGAGGGGCCAGCCACATAGTAATCCCAGCTCCCGAGAGCCGTCTCCCTCGCGATCGGGTCGGCGACTGTCCACGTCGTCGATCGACAGTAGAAATTACATTCTCGGTCTTGCGGATCCTCAGAGGCCTGGGGGCAACCCCAACGACTCCAAACGTGTCCAGAAACACCCGGCCACGTTCCAGTGTCACCTGTGCCCCAAGCGCTTCACGCGAGCCTACAACCTACGATCTCATTTGCGTACCCATACGGACGAGCGGCCTTTTGTATGCACTGTCTGCGGAAAAGCTTTTGCGCGACAGCATGATCGAAAGCGTCACGAGGGGCTGCACTCGGGCGAAAAGAAGTTCGTCTGTCGCGGTGACCTCTCGCGTGGTGGACAGTGGGGATGTGGTCGGCGATTTGCGCGTGCGGATGCTCTGGGTCGTCATTTCCGTTCCGAAGCTGGTCGGATCTGTATCAAACCATTGTTGGATGAAGAGTCTCAAGAGCGGGAGCGCACGATGATGGATCAGCAACAGCACCTGCAGCCTATACCGCCTCCGTTGATGGTGCCAGGAATGGATGGCCAACATACCAGCAATTTCGTCCTCCCTGCTGCGTTGTTGGCCCAATACCCCGCGTTGCAGACCTTGCAGTGGGATCAAATCCCTGCCACCGCAGACGATCCCAGTGACATAGGAGGCCGCAGCAGTTTCGATGCCAGTTCCGGCGGAGAGTTTGGATTTGATGATGACGAATCCGGCCTCAGTAGTGTCTCTGGCATCAGCGGGAGCTACGGAGGCCCGAGTAACATGTACGATGTGAACAATTCGGGCCAGATGTTAGGAGTGAACCCTGCAGACTCTGGCTATCGAGAAGCCGATTGGAGAGCATGACAACGCGTGTCTCGGTGATGCTCGCTCCCCCTCCCATTATTTTCCTTCATTCTTAGCTCGGGTGCTATATCATTTCACCCAATTTTTCTTCTTCTTTCATTTCCCCATCTTTATCATTTAACAGGCGATATTTCTTTCCATTCTACCCGAAATCCGAGGCAACGGGTGCAGCAGGCTTCCTCATGATTTCGATTTCTCAATAGAACAGGGTTTTGGCGTTGAGATACAGGGAGACGGATTGGATTGGTGATTGATTGATTGATTGCCTCATGACGGCGGGTTTCACTTTCATTCAGACCTACCAGATTTTGATTTTTTTTTCTATTTCTTTTACTACTTTTCTTTCATTCTCGGCTGGTCTAACCTGACCACACATTATCATTATCTTGTTACGTGATTACGAAGAATCCTTAAACTTCATACCCATGGAAGATGCTCCCGGTTGTGTTTTCGTGTGCGAGGTTTAGGTTTTTATTTATTTATTTTCTATTTCGCTATTACCCAGGGAAAAGGGATGCAATCTTTGAATACGGATTATTAAGTCATTTTCGTCACATTAATTGTCCTACTTATAAGTGAGAGGTGACTTGTTTAAGCTCATGTAATTGACTGGTGCGCGGTACTGACATACTAACAAACAGAATACATATTAGTAAGTCCACTGTGATATCCACACTCCCAAGACAATAATAGTATTGTATACAGTTCTCTTCAAACAGTCCATATCCATCCATCTATCTATTCTAACTATCTCTATCTATTCAAATTACCCTAAAAATAAAAGCAAAGCTTGATCGCAGCCCCAGCCGAAGACAAACCTGCCCCCTATACGAGCGCTCATGCATAGATTGCAAGGCAATCCTCGCATACTAAAGGTAAGTATCAACAAGACTGACTGTTAGTTACTTAGCAGTACTAGATTTAAATATAAGCATGAGTTCAGCGTTGTCTGCCTTAACATTTTTTCTGATTACGGCATCTGGATCAAGACAGATGGATGTAGTAAATAGTAAACAGTAAGCGAGCTTGTACTAGTAAGGAGTTAGGTTTCAGTGGAGGGGATGGTGGGATATGACTACTACTAGGATGGACAGGTACTATTTTAGTAAGGATGTTATGTGCTACACTCTTAAGTTAAGTGAAGAAGGGAAGGACAGGGATGTAAGGTGAAGTATAGAGGACTAGAGCGGAGGAACATTTTGTACTCCTTTTGATACAAATGACATACTATACAAATACGTTGATGATGATGGATGATGGATGATAATGCATTCATAAATCCCCCATGCCGCAGGAAACGCCGAACAGCTGACCAGCTATCTCAAGTCCTTAATGGAACAGATAATAGATATTATTTTTCTTTTTAGCTCACTTTAAGAGGTGGGATGGGATTGGATAATCAGATTTCCGCTACAACCATAAAACGCTCACCGCACCAATTTCCCAATCTCCTCAATCCACTTAGCATGGAACTCTTCCTCGGTGAATCTCAACGCAGACTTCCTGGCGCGTAGCCGCATCGCGACCTTCTCTTCAACCGGAAGCGCAAGCGCCGCCTCGAACGAAGCAGCGAATTGCTCCTCCGTGGAGGCGCGGAATCCCGTGGCGCCATCGCCGAGGTCAATGACGATGTCTTCGCGGGGACCGCCGGAGTCGTGGACCACACTGATCAGACCGGCGGCTTGGTACTCGACGACGCAGATGCCGAAATGCTCGTTCCACATGGCGTTGACGCCGATGGAGGCCGTGGCGAGGTGCTCGAGGATGGTGGGCCAGCTGGCGTCGCAGATGAAGGTGGTTTGGTCGCGGATGCGGAGTTCGTGGGCTAGTAGCCGGAGGTTGTAGATGTGGGTTTCGTCGGGGCTGGCGTGACGGACAGAACCGATGAGGACGAGCTTGGGCTCGGTTTCGGGGTCGGCGTTCTGGTCGCGGCGCTCTTGGAGGAAGCGGGCGAAGGAGCGGAGGAGTAAGGGGTGGTTCTTCTCCGGGCGGAACTGGGCGATGTACAGGATAAGGGGCTGGCGGGTGCGTTCGGTCTCTGGGGACACGGTGATGGTGGACTCGAGTTCGGAGACAGCAGTGGGTGGGAAGATTACGGTGGGATCTTTGTGGGGGTTGGTTTGGCGGGAGGGACCCCAGATGGTGCGGATGTGCGCTGATGTCCAAGAGGAGTTGCACATGACGACATCGACGTGGCCGCCTACCCAGCCGTAGAGTTTGGCAAATGCGATCCAGTACTTCCGCTTGACCTGGCCCTTGAGACCCTTTCCGGCGCCGGAGTTGACGCCTTGCAGGCCGGTCTGGTCGTCGAGGGATTGGAGCATGTCGGTGGAGATGGTCGGGTAGTGCACGTAGGCGGCGGTTGGGACGGAGGGGAAGAGAAGCTTGCTGAAAGCGAGGGTGAATGCGTAGCCCATTGTGTCAACGAAGATATCCGGAACAAGGAGGTTGAATGCATCCCAGGCAACGATGAGAGAGCCCAGGGATTGGCCGAGCAGAGTCATGTAGGGGTACATGCTGCTAACGACATATTTGCGGGTAGTAAGGTAGAGGAGGACGACAGTCGGGGAGTGGAGTGTGATGTTGAAGCGGTTCTGAGGTCGTCAGTATGTGCATGAAAGACATGGGGGTGCTAAATGGAGTGGTACCTGGACCCGTTCCAGCATGGCTGCTTTGTTAACCTCATGGTCGCCGGTATAGATGGCACAGATGGCCTTGGGCCAGCGTTTCTGGGTTGCTCTCACGGCCTCCCAGAGAACGCGTTCACCACCGCCGCCTGCGTTACTGTAGGAAAGTGATCAGTAAGAGTTGCAGCGAGGGGGTTGCCGAGGGCATTACCAGAACGGATGAAAGAAGCCGATGATGCCATCCCATTCTTCATTGCGGTTGATGCCAGCGGTTCCGGAGCTGGAGCTGGAGGTATCGACCTTCTCCCAGTCCTCCTCATCACCAGAGTTAGTAGCAGAGGCGGTCTTTGTGCGGGTAGCGTGTTCTTCCTCGTCAGCGCGGACGCGCGAGATGATGTACTCGCGGCGAGAGCGGGTACGCTTCTGGACCAGCCAACCGACACCGCGGAGAACTAGGCGGAGAAGACTCAGGGGCAGCTGGGGGAGTAGCACACAGGTCGCCAGGAGGGCGAGCACGGTGAGGACCGACTTGAGGATGAGCAGCATCATGGCTAACGAGAGACAGCTGCGGACATGGCAGGTGGATGAGGAGCGGAAGAGAAGAAGAATGAAACTGGCCAGCGTGGAGGTTGAAGACGAAGCGAAGAAGCGGGTCGATCTCGAGATCCTTATCGATAGCTCGTATTGTATGGTACATTACATTACATACATGATATACTGACAGTATGGTCAATCATTGTCTTGTTCCTATCACCACGTGATATCGAACCTCCACGTGATGACATGTTTTCCACCCTCGGCGGCCTTTCAATTCATTCTGGTCTGATTCGATCAACTCGGCGCGGCATTGGTGAGGCATTGTCTCTTAATCCCATACTTCCACTATTCTATTCTTGTACATATTATATTTTTCCAACGCATACGTCCAGCCAACCCGCCAATCACTCAACATGCGGCCCTTCCGATTGTCGCATCCCGCACGCAAGACGGCGGCTTTCCAGCAGGTCCGGCATTTCCACCCAACCCGTCCAGCTCCCTTCATCAACGAAGCCCTCGAACTCTCCTCCGCCTTCCTCCATAATGTCCACGCTATTTCCGGTCTACCATGGGCCGTCTCCATCCCATTGAGTGCTCTGATCGTCCGAACAACCGTTGCTCTGCCGCTACAACTCTACAGCAAGATGCAAGCGAAACGAGAACGGGATGCGATACCACTTCTCCACGCGTGGAACCGATGCTTTAAAGAGAATTTGCAGAAATCAGAGGACTACACCCGCGAGGATCGCCTATTGCTCGCCAAAATGGACCCTACAAGGGCCCAAAAGCAACAACTCATGAAGCAATTCCTGGAAAGGAAACGAATCGTACACCGTCGCCTGGGCGTTCCCCGGTTCTGGAAGCCGCTGAACTTCCTCCAACTACCCATCTGGATCTCCATCATGGAGAGTCTCCGCGCCATGTCCGGCAATGATCGTGGTTTAGTGCCCTGGCTCCTATCGCGCCTTGAGCCCGAGTCCGCGGATCCCTCATCTGCCCTGCATCTTGCGGTCGAGCCCTCACTCGCCAATGAGGGTGCCCTTTGGTTCCCCGATCTTCTGGCCGGAGATCCTACCGGTATCCTGCCTTTGGCACTAACACTATCTATCCTGCTGAATATCCGAATGGGTTGGAAGGCCCAGCCTCTGAAGAACCTGGCCGATCTGCCCAAGGTAGAGATGTACAAGCAGCTTTCCTTGCGGGGAATTCGGATGTTTGTTCAGGTGCTGGCGTTAAATGTGGGATTGTCATCATATGTGTCGGAGATGCCTACCGCTTTGATGATCTACTGGCTCACCAGTACGAACGTTGCTACGTTGCAGACCTTACTCCTGGATCGGGTGCTTTTCCCGGTCAAGCCCCTGCCTGTATGGAAGAGGCACTACGTCATGTACAAAACACCAAAAAGCCTGGCGCCTCCGGCCAAGAAGTCATGAATTCAGGCTATGAAAATGATATGCAGACACATGAGAGTATGTGATACCAGGCTATAGCCGACTGGAACGGATCCAAAGGATACGAAAGACATGTCCGGTGATGCTGGGGCTCTGCTCAGTCATGAGTACTGAAACGCGCCTGAGGTATTTTCGCTTTTGAAGGCCTCACTTGTTTGTGAGGGAAACGCGTTGCGCTTTCTTCGATCAAAACTACCCGGGTGCAATCAGTTAATGGACATACATGTCCATGATTGAACACATTGTGCCATGGCCTGGCCTGACGGACCAGAGAAAGGGTGCTCGAGCACTGAGGGAGCTTGACGATCTCAGCGCAATTATGGCGTGGCGGACATATACCGCTTTGTACTATTATTAGAATCTCGATACCCCAAGAATAGCATCAATTACACTTGCAAAAGCAGGAGTTACACTAATGTAACGATCTATGTCATGTGTATCTCATTTCATGCTAATTAATGCATACTAAAGCAAGAGTAAGTTCCCCATCAGGCTCCGCGCGCGTAACGCCGGCTGTACTGCCAGTCCATTTAGTCAGGGTGAAAGAAAACCATAAAAGACAGGAAATGCCGTCAACCGTGTATGCATGTATCACGAACGGGCATCAAAGACAAAGAATAAGAAGTGGAAATGGGATCAAGCATGTTTTCTTGCGTCTCTCTTTTCTGTCTCTTTGGCGCCAATCGTAATAATGTCTTATGGTAAAAGTTATGGGTTTAAACTACAGCTTGGCCTTGACGCTCTCCTCGGATGCGCTGGCCTCTTCGTTGATGGTGACGGTGCGGTTGTCAGGGCCCTCGCCGAAGAAGATGACCTCGACAGTTACGTCGTCACTGAATGAAGTTAGCGGGATCTCAGTGAACGATAAAGTAGGGAAGAAGCATACCGGTATCTGCGGGAATAAGGACTGGGGAGAGTCAGCAAGGCGGAGACCATCTCCTTGTCCTTTCCACCCATGGCATTGCGCACAAGGTGAGTCGCAGCGTTTTGATCCTCAACGGTGAAGCGGCTGGCTGCTCCAGCGATGTCGTACTGCTGTTGGCGGATGGGACGACGTTGGCCTTCAGCGTCGGTCGCCTTGGGCCCCTCAACTGGCAGCTCAGACTTGTTGCCAAAGCTAAACCAGCTCTTCAGCCAGGCCTTGTTGCTGCCACTGGCGCCGAGCTGCTGCTGCTGCTCAACCCACTGGCCGACAAGACCGACAACCTCCTCGTTGCTCAACATCTCCCAGAGACCGTCGGTTGCAAGGACAAGGAAGTCACCGCTGCCGGGCTCCATCTTTGTGGTGGTGACAATCGGCTCGGCAGTCACGTAGGGAGGGGTCTTCAGCAGGGGATGGGGAGTGCGACCAAAGAACTGTCGCTTGATCTTGTCCTGGGTATCCCTGCTCCACTTGTAGAATGCATCTCCGAAAGAGCGACTCGGCTCGAGCTGTCCGAGAATCCGTCCGTTGCGCACAACGTTAGGCTCTCCAGGATGCTCCTCCCGTAGACGCTTCATCTCAGACGGAGTTCCACCAGTCTGGTCCTCAGAGAGAGGCGTTGCGGTCCATTTACCGTTCGCAGCACGACGACCCAGAACAGCTCTGGAGTCACCTGCGCAGGCGACCTTCAAATCCTTAGATTGAGAGTCGTAGAAAGCAAGAAGGGCGCAAGATCCGGAAAGAGCAGGCGCAAGCATCTCGGCTGCGACCCGGCGCGAGTTGGACTTGAGCACCTTGTCGACGCTGCTGTGCACAATATCGTCGTCCAAACGAGTGAACCCTTGCTTGATCGCGGCGTCAATGGCAGCGGACGAGGGCGTCAACAGAGAGGGGTCGGCAGCTGCGGCTTTGTAGGTGGTGTTCAATTCACGAGCGACGTAGGAGATGAGAACATTGCGCAACTTGGCAGATGTTGTCCAGCCTCTGTAAAACAATAGGTTAGTATGAGGAAGGAACTTGATCATATAGGATTCTGTAAACGCACGAATGACCATCAAACACCGCCCAGAACATCCAGTCACTCTTGGATTCGCCTTGATTGGCTGCCGCTACGGACGACGGCACCTCGATAATCTTTTCGGCATGATCATCCTCAATTGGAGAATTACTAGGCACCTGCACAATATCGTAGCGGACCACTCCCTTGCCCCGGTTCACCAGATATGACTCCTCGTTCTTCCTGAGCTTCTGTGTGGCTTGCTCTGGGGTCAACATTTCGAGAACTCGACGGTCGGAATCGTCCGTGTGCTTGGACAATGGCTGATCTCCGGAGATAGGGGCGGTAAAGAACTGGTCATTATCCACCAGCAGTGCACGTCGAGTGGCCTCCGCAGGGGCTTCAGCTTGTGCGCCAGCGGTCGAATACGAACGGAGTTGCGACGAGGTTGGGTTCAGACCCGCCGATGTCTGGCCGGTGCCCTGATAAGCGTACCAGGCGCCCGAGGCGACGGCGGTCGAAATGACAGCGATCGAGAAGTTCCGAAGATGCATCGACGACTGGAGGGGGGCGGGGAGATAAGAGGGGTGTTTGCCCGTGGAGGAAGCACGTAGACCGAGACTCCGACTGCTGGAGAAGGACACGGCGCACGGTTTCCTACCAGTGACCTTCCATGCTGGCACGCGACGGGCAGTACGAAGGGCTTGAAAAGCCGCACGACGCATTGGGCCGGCGGATAGAGGGTTGTATGTGAGCCGGGAGTGTCTTGGCTACTCTCCGTCTCTGGTTTCGGAGAACAACAAAAGCAAGTAGAAGATAAGCAAGTGAGAAACAGACGAGATGCGGTGGAGGCAAGCAACTACTTTCAACCACGGGATCTCGCCGCCATTGCGTCATGTGATACCGTGTATGTATTGTTTGTGACCTTACATACGGCGGCTTCCGAAAGGGGCTTAAGCAAAACTGACCCAGAACCCCGCTAAGCCTGTCTCGGCCGTGTCGTCATTCCCCGCGGGACTGCCCGATTCAATCATATTCTTTTGTTCTTTGACTCTTAGGCTTTCCTGTCAATATCTTTTCCGCGTCGCTGTCTGCGTGTGTGGCCCGTTGCGCCTAGTGATATCAGATCACTCTCGACTGCTTCTACAGATTCGAATATATTGTCGACTCCTGAATGTCCTCCCGTGCGCTCCGCAAGCTGCAAAAGCAGCGCGAACAAGAGCTGCAGCTGGCACAACTCGAACAAGAGAATGATGGCTCGAGCGATGAAGAGCCAGTGGTCCGGCCGTCGAAGCCGAAGCTCAATGCATTCGATTTGTTGAACTCGGTGGACGACGACGACGAAGATGAGCAGGAGTCCGAGATTGAAGCCGAGATCGAGGAACCTGAGCCGGTGACTCAATCTAAGGAGGAGGTTCCTGCACCTGCACCTGCACCTAAGCCCGCAGCCCCAGGAAAGAAAAATAAAAAGAACAAGAAAAAGAAGAAGGCGGGGGCTAAATCGGGGGCTCATGCTGCTTCTCCCGAGGCTACAGGACTGGATGATATCGACAAAGCGCTGAAAGACTTGGCCGTCAACCCTAAACACCCCGCACACTCTGGTGGCTCAGCCGCCGCAGAAGACCGCGATGCTGGATTCCCGAAAACACCGGAAGCACTTCTCGCGATTGATCCTAGATGCCTGAATGCGACGAACGAGATGCGCAAATTATTTGGAAATGTCGTGCTGGAAAACTTCGATCAAGATACTGGATCAGGTCGCAGGAGAGATAGAGGCCGGGAGACGCTTGACTTAGGGCAGGCATTGACAGGTCGGTACAGTCCTGCCAGTAGGGGTCAGAGTCTGGCAGGCGTGACGCAGCGGCGGAATGTGCTCATGCAGGGCAGAGATGAGTGGCCTCGGTCTCCCAGTGGTGGTCTTGGAATGGAGCTGGTCGAAAAGCTCCAAAATGGCTCTACTATGTACAAGATTGTGCACAATTCTTCATACACGGATGTGCAGAGACAGTTTGATATGTGCGTGGAGTCAATGGATCCCCAAAGAATGATCCACCTCTTACAATACAATCCATACCACATCTCTACCCTCCTACAGGTGTCTGAAATAGCAAAGCATCAGGGTGATCATGCGGTCTCGGCTGACCTACTCGAGCGCGCACTATTCAATATCGGTCGTTCAGCCCATTCGTCTTTCAGCAACCTTGTTAAGCAAGGCCAGGCAAAACTTGACTTTGTGCATATGGAAAACCGCGAGCTGTGGCTGGTTGGCTGGAGGTACATTGCTAACCTGGGTATGAAGGGTACTTGGCGGACGGCGTATGAGTGGGCGAAACTACTGTTGAGCCTCAATGAGACTGACCCATACTGCATCCGGCTTCTTATCGACCACCTGGCCCTGCGAGGCCGAGAATATGCCCATTTCGTGGATCTGTGCACACAGACGCGTTTGAGCAAGGAGTGGGAGGCTCTTCCCAACATCCAGTGCTCGCTCGCGCTGGCCTATCTACGACTTAACAAACCGAAGGAATGCCGCGAGCAGCTGCGTCGAGCCATGTCGCGCTACCCGTGGGTGTTCTGCAAGATGGCGCAAGAGCTTGACATCCAGCCCATGCCCAAGAGGATCTGGGGCAAGATGCCACCCACGGACGCCCATGAACTCTTTACCGAACTCTATATTAGCCGTGCCAAGGACCTCTGGAACACTCCCGAAGCGGTTTCTCTGATCGTAGAAGTGGCCGACACGCTTCCTGACGAAGAAGAGCCTGTTGAACCGCCCGAGATCTCGCTGGATATCGCACGCCATGTCGTACTGTCCGATATCCCTCGCGTCACGACGCACCTGCCAAACCGCTTTGTCGCTGGACGCCTCTCCGCGTCCGATCCCCTTCCCCCGTACGAGTCGGAAGCCTATCGTCAGCAGTCCGACCCCACGCCATCCTACTTGTCGCAGGTACCAGATGTAGGGCGGCCACAATGGCTGCGAGACCTGCTTGATCAGCTGAACAACGGTGCTATCCATTTCCCTAGGTTCCAGCGTGATGGAGAGGAAGTACACGAAGATGACGTTCCATCGGAGACCGAAGTTGAGGACAACCGTGCGCCGGCCCACCCCAGCGCCGATCAGCAACCCGTTCTCGAACAGTGGCTGTTGAATGACGGGATGCACACGCTGGAAGCGTTTCTTCAGCAGTACGGAGTTGACCGGGGAAACTGGGGCGAGGTGCTCGACTATTCCCCACTGACGGAGTATGTGGATGGCTTGGAATTGGTTCAGCCAGAGTCGGAGCGCGAGCGCTTGCTGCATGGACCGATTCGGGAGGCGATGGGAGACATGGTGGTTTCCATGCTGGAGGACGAGCTCCAGCTGCTTCAGTACGACGAGGAAGAAGCTTGATACCCAGGGTGAAATATCGCGTGTAACCTATACAACATTCAGGAAAAGTATTTGCTGCATGGGCATTCAGATGGGCTGAGTAGACAGGTTAGAATATAGATGGTTGTTGATCAAAATTTCTCATTATCACAATAAAGGTATTAATAAAGCAGATAACTTGATCTACTACTGTAACTACAACTTATCGATCGTGATGTTGCTGCTATCGTAACCGAGTACACAAAGTGTATATTTAAAAATACTAGTAGCATTACTATATGGCTTCCTTCGCAAGGGACCCCTGCACAATACGACGTTACCAACGGCTATGCGGCTTAGATGCATCCATTCCATTTCTAGAGATACTCACCTACCACTACTCAATCAGTTTAATCCACATCCAAAGCAATGATAATTATCATGGGGGAACTTGACAAGCTGATAAGCGATAGGATGAAGCTGAAAGAATGACACTGCGAACACAGACAGCTTAGTCAAAAGCATTCCTGACCGGCTCCACCCGCAACCATGCGCCAATCTATTCAGTCCCCAAGTGACTCAATTGTCGCCATTTTAATAGCTTCATTCCTTCGTGCTTCCCTCCTACACATTCCATGAAAATTTCTTCAACCACCGGATTCCTCCGAATCGAGCAGCTGACCCTTCATTTTTCACTATCCGCTCTTATCGCGACCCCATGCGCCCGAACGGCAAGGGATTTTCTCAATAAAACCGCTATCATAGGAGGGTTCCTTATCTCTCTGCCCGTCATTGATTGAGTCGAGCAGTCCGCAAGAGTTTCCCTCCAAACTCCAGCAACAACTCTTGCACCTCACTGCCCCCAGTACCTCAAACCAAGATGGCGGCTCTCTGGACAGCTACCAATGCCGACTCTGTCCCTCTCACTTCTCGCGAAGCGGCCTCTGGCTTGCTAGGTTCGATATCACTCACCTGCTGGATCTTTCTCCTTGTAAGCCCTCTAAACCTCTATTTTCTCCCCATACTACATTGAAACTATATTGACGAGACTACCAGGTCCCCCAACTAATCGAAAACTACCGCAACGGCAACGCCGAAGCTATTTCCCTCCTCTTCCTCTTCGTCTGGTTCCTCGGCGACATCACCAACCTAATCGGAGGCGCCTGGGCAGGTCTCGTGCCCGTAATTGTCGCCATCGCCGTGTACTTCTGCATCGCAGACGGGGTCCTCATCGGACAATGTCTCTACTACAAGGCGCGGAACTCGCGACAGCCGCGCCCCCGCCGCCGCACTTCCTCTTCCGTGTTCGAGCCAAGCACGCCCGATCCGACGACGCCGCTCCTGGGCCGGCGGTTCAGTGATGCATATGCGCAGACTGGCGAAACCCTGGACAACCCTAGGAACTCGACGCGCCGCGCGGAAAGCAGCAGTGATGATATGCTGGCTAAGATTGTCGAGGAGAATGATGTGGGGCGCAAGGCCTGGGTGAAGAATTTTAGCAGTGTGCTGGGCATCTGCGTTATTGGAATGGCGGGGTGGACGGTTGCGTGGCGGACGGGCGTGTGGAAGCCCGCGCCAGTGGAGGAGGGACTGGGAGGCGTAGATATGGCTCCTGGGGCAATGGTGTTGGGGTATATTAGTGCGGTTTGTTATCTTGGGTATGTTTGTTTTCTATGATTTATTGGGGTGAGTGATGGTGCTGGTGCTAATTGGAATACAGGGCGCGACTTCCACAGATCTATAAGAACTACTGCGATAAGTCGTGTGAGGGTATGTATATTCCTTTCTGATAGAGTTAATGTGGTTGGAAGCTAACATATGAGTATAGGACTCTCGCTACTGTTTTTCATCCTCTCTCTTATGGGAAACCTCACCTACGGCGCAGGCGTAAGTCTACCAATTTATCACAATTCTCATGATTCACATAAACCCAGACTAATGAAAACCTTTTTACAGATCATCTGCCACTCCACAGAAAAGAACTATATTGTGACCAATGTCCCATGGCTGATTGGCTCGCTCGGCACCATGGTCGAGGACGTGACCATCTTTGTGCAGTTCCGACTCTACGCGACACGCGACCAAGACACGGCTGCTGTTTAGCGCGTCTGTTGCACATTGATTATGTGTTGTGTGTTTGTGTGCTGTTTCTAAGGTTGTCTTGGTTCTATGCTGCTGATGGTTTAGCGTGTCTAGCTAGTACTTTATTGTCTGGGGTTGTATTATTGGTTGGTTGTACCTGTATGGGCTGGCGGTGTCTAAAAGTTCTTTATCTCGATCTCGATCTTGCATTGCGGAGTGGGTATTGCTGTTATTGTTATCGATATGGATATTGATTTGCTGATGTTGATGTACATCGATTGGCGGAATATTTGTTGTATGGGGAAGTTGGTGCACAGGGCAGGCGGAGTATAGTATATATAGTACTATAGTATACTATAACCATACGAACTACTAGTGTCTACTACATCTAGATCTACAGAACATATGGAAACAGTGGGAACGAGGTTTTGCTCATGGTCGCATGACAGACATTGCATGAGAGCTGGGGCACCTAAGCTCGAAAGAACACGCCATATAGCATAGTAGCAACAAGCACACAACATCAGAGACACAAGAGGAGCCGAAGCCGAATCTCTTCCGCCCCCCCAGGAAAAACCGGAATCGCAACGGCATCGCGGTTTCCCCTCCAGAAAGTAGTACTACGTAAGAGACACATTTCTGGTTCTTATTTTCTTCACGACGGAGCCTATCATGCGAGCAGAGCGCCCAGTCCCACCGGATGTCCTTGTCCGTTCATTCTTTCTTTTAATTTTCCCTTTTTGGTCTTCGTGCGGTCGCGTAGTATCAGGTACAAGAAATGCGAGGGGGCGAAAAGGAGGTAGTAAGGAAACGAGATAGAAAAGGAAAAATTAGGAAACCCGAACGGTTGAAGACGCTTAGTCGAAAAGACCGAAGCCCATGTCCTCATCGGACTCCTCCTTCTCTGTATAGAAGTTAGCCCAAATGTTCCTATTCCTATGATGCCCTGCCATTGCAATCGCCATGACAATGAATATGTTGTAGTATGTTCCGTACCTTCTTCCTTCTTCTCCTCAGCGGCGGCAGCCTCGGCGGGGGCAGCAGCGCCACCGGCAGCAGCAGCGGGGGCGGCAGGGCCAGCGGAGCCGACGTTGGTCAGGAGCTCCTTGATGTCCTTGCCCTCGAGAGCCTATTGATAAAACCGACGTGTAAGTCTTTGTGTTTGATTCCAGATGGTGGTGGTGCATAGTCGGGTTGAATCGCGCATCGCATGCGATGATGAAACTGGGATGTGTTGCGAAGGTTGGACGGATTAATTTACCTTGGCGAAGATGGAAGTCCAGATGGGCTCAACCTCCTGAACCTTGGCGGCAGACAGGAGAGTCTGGAGCTTGTCGGCCTGTATTGAAGAAATTCCATTATTAGTCCAATTTTGATCTTATAACCTTGAATTTTCCAACCCGGCATTTGTTGCATGTTCCGATTCCTTGGTATCGTCCTATTCCATCTCTTTTCGCGACACTGTTCTTATTTCTCCTGCTCTTTCCTAGCACTATGTCCCATCCTTGCCTGCCATTCCAATGCCCGGGTTGAAATCAAGGGTCAATACGTACGGTGACCTCGACGCCGTCATCGGCGAGGATGAGGGCGGCGTAGGAGCAAGCGAGCTCGGCAGTAGACATGGTGGTCGACGGGGGGGTTGGACTGGACTGGAGTCTCGAGAGGGATGGGGATAAAAAGAGGAAGAGAAGGACGGGAGACTTTTTTGTAACGGCCTGGTCGAGAAGGGGAGTCGGACGGTGAGTGACTAACGCTTGCCCCGAACGGAAGTTGTGTGTTGAGCACCGCAGAAGCCCTCGCTTAGGGCTGCTCCCGTTTGGGCTTAGTGTTACCACCCCTCGCCCGTGACTTGGCGCTATCCCGCTTCGGGCCAGATAGCTTGGCAATGCCATCATCGCCTGATGGGCTTCACGTTGCTTTCCCGCCCGTGGACTTTACTTCAATGCGGATGCATCTCTTATTAGATCCTGTCTACCTGGCTTGGCTGTTGTGTCGCTGATATAGAATCATCTCGAATATCTCTTTAAATTCCGCTTCATCCGCGTCTGCGTCCCCGATTCCATTACTTCGTTATCTATCTTCTTCCCCTCTCCTCCCCTCCCCTCCCTCCCCTCTCTCTCCAGCAGCATGGACTCCCCCGCTGTCCCCGCCCCGCTGGACCCGAAAGAGCAGCCAATCCTTGAGCGTCTGTTGCGCACTCGCGATGCTCTCATCCTGCTCAAACAGGACAAGTCTTCATATATTAAATCTCGCGATGTTCTTCCTCTCTATGAAGAGGTGGTCGCTGAGGTAGAAAAGCTCAATGCCGCGCGCAAGGAACAGGATCGCCGGCGGGCACATAATCGACGTTAGCACTGAGTGGGCCTGTGTATGGATGATGGCGACTATGGAAATGCTGACTTGTGCGATGTGCTAGTGGACTATGTTCTTGACGATTGCTTCCAACTCATTTCGCTACTATTCCTGACCGTTGGTCGCAACAATGAAGCTCCTGCCGTGTATGTTTCTACTGTCCGGTCTGAGGTTGAAAGTGAACTATACTAACATCATTGTCGTTGTGATACAGGTACTCTCTTGCGACGACTGTTCAGGTATGCGTGACCGTTTCTGCGATACTAGCCCCTACTAACCGTTCAGCGTCTACTCGACCACCTGGAAGAGGCCGGCTTCTACAGCTCCAAAGATCTAATCTCCATCACCAAGACCCTTGCGAACATGAACGATACCCTCGAGCGATGCCGCCAAGCTTACTCCCCTGCCCTTATCACCCTGCTCGAGAGTCGTCTGGAGAAATGCCAGCTGTTGTTGGAGAAATTGCAGAGTGGTCTGGCCAAGCTGGGTCCGGAACTGGCGGCTACACATGAGACGCTCGTGTCTATATTGCGATCGACATCGGCCGTGAACACGCGCTCTAAGGTAGTTTACCCTTGCCGATCGGAAGTGTGCAAGCTGACATTGATAGTTTTCATCATCCGAGGTCACCGCGCTTCGGACCCAACTGAAGAAGATTGAGGAGGGCATGAAGGACGGACAATTCGTTGATGCTGAAGGGGTGCCGCTTTCCGGTGCTCAGGGAGACGTCAAGCTGCTGATGGAGCGGTGTTGGCTCTGGACGGAGATTGTGCTGGAGCGGTATGTATGGATGGCGACATAATAGGATTCTGTGCTGATATGTCGCAGACAAGGAAAGATCGACGAAAGGTTCAAGGAACAGTACGACAAATTGATCGAGATTCGCAACCAGCTGGACCGTCTGGCTGTGACACAGGCATGGTCGCTTCGTGAGACGGACCTGTTCGGCTACCAGCGCAAGCTCGACCGGATTGACGAGGCGCGGGTGAACGGTAACTTCGTAGATGCGGAGGGCAACGCAGCAGACATTCATGCGCAGAGGGTAAGTTGCACCGGCCGCTCTATCTGGTACATGCTAACTCGGGTGTAGACATTACTGTACCTGATCCGGCGTAGTTACGGGTACATTTATGCGCTGCTGATCTCCTCGGAGCCGGTGTCGGAGGCGCTGTTGCCAGTGTACAACCAGCTGCAGACGCTGCGCAAATGCCTACTGGAGGTACAAGAGTCAGGGGGTGTATCGAACTCGCGCGAGCTCTATCCGTACAGCATGAAGGTAGGTGCTGCTTTCGCAGATGAGAGCCGACAGATGCTAACGACAATGCAATAGCTCAACTCGATTGACAACATGCGCGTGGACGGCAAGTTCTACGTGGGCACCGACATCCCCGAAGGCCAGGGCAGCGTGAACGCGTTGCTGGCGGAATGCTACGACATTGTATGGGAATTGCGGGCGGCAGTGGACGAAGACGAGCGGACGGCGTAGATGGGAAGGATGTCTTAATATGTACTAATGCGAACGGGAGGATATCTTGCTGGCTTTGGAGGCGTTAGGGAGTTGGACCGTCGTAGTGAATGAATGGTTGATTGATTGATTGAACTATGAACCAAGTTGAAATCATGAAGCGATCCCTGCATGAATCCTACATGACATCACCTCCGCTCCGCCCCGCTGGGCCCCACATCCCACATACTCGCGGGTCCTTTAGGGAAGCAAGTAATTCCACCTCATCTTCTAATCTTGTGTATACATCCCAGCTTACTTCCAGAGTACATCACTCATGATTGGGGCATTTGTAGTCTGCTGACAGGCAGATCCCACATCCAATCTCTTCACACTGTATATAAGCGTCACTCTTGTCCCTCCAATTCCCTCACCATAAAACAATCATCCACACCTCACCTCCCAATTACCCATATACATACAAAGTACAGAATACAACCCTCAATATCTCAACATGACAGAAACCCTCCGCCCAGCCTTCGCCGACCGACCCCGACCTCTCCTCTCCTACGGCATCCCCTTCCCCACTGCAGCAGCCCACCACATCACCGACCTCTTCCACGCCTCCAAGATCTACATCCTCTGCTCCGCCTCCCTCGCCCACAACACCGACGCCCTCGACCGTCTCACCCGCGCCCTAGGACCGGACAAGATCGCAGGAACCCGCATCGGCATGCAAAGCCACACGCTCTGGTCCGAAGTACTAGAAGTAGTCCGCGACGCCCAAGCCGCGGAAGCAGATCTCCTGATCACCCTCGGCGGGGGGAGTCTAACAGATGCCGCGAAGGTGGTTGCGCTGGTAATATACCTTCCCCGTCCCGCTTCCTCCTACCCTAACACATATACTAATCAAAAGAACTGGCTGGTAAAATATAGGCAATATCCAACAACACCACCACCCCCGACACCTTCCTCACCTTAACCACCGAACCACCGACCCCAAACCCACCCATCAAACCCCCCTCCATCCCCATCATTTCCATCCCCACCTCCCTCTCCGCAGGCGAATACTCCTCCTTCGCGGGCGCCACCCATGACACTTCCCGGCGGAAATACTCCTTCTCAGCACCGATCCGCGGCCCGCAGCTTGTCATCCTTGACCCGGAGCTGACTGCCACCACTCCCGAGCGGATCTGGTTAGGGACGGGTATCCGGGCGGTGGATCACTGCGTTGAGACATATCTTTCCTCCGGGGTGGGGAGTAAAGATGGGGTTACGGAGGAGACGGATCGATTGGCGTTGCATGCGTTGGGGTTGTTGGTTCCAGGGTTGGTGAGGTGTACAAGAATGAATCATAAGGAAGGGGGGATAGATAGAGAAGAAGATGGTGATGATGATGGAGGGAAAGCGGCCAGGCTGGATTGTGCCTTGGGCAGTGTGGATGCTATGGCTGCTTGTTCGGCCGGGTTGCCTTTGGGGGCGAGTCATGGGATTGGACATCAGGTATGAACCCCATTTATTTTCCTATGTGTATACTCTAACAGGGTACATGTATATATACTAACGACTACGTGATGAATAGCTCGGCCCCCTCGGCGTCCCCCACGGCGAAACAAGCTGTATTCTCCTCCCCGCCGTATGCAAATACAACGTCAAGTACAGCAGCAGTACCAGTAATGTGACTGCCCGACAGACCAAGCTCCGCGATTTCCTGCTCCGGCAGGAGGGCGTACCCGGGGTGGTGCGCAAGCATTATGCAGAAGCAGCAGAAGTTGATCTCGGAGATGTGCTAGACGCAGTGATTAGAGAGTTAGGGCTGCCGCGGTCGTTGCAGGCGGTCGGGGTGGGGCGGGATCAGTTCGATGCGCTGGCGGAACATTGTCTGCATGATCGGTGGTGCCAGGCGAATGTGGTGCCGCTGCAGGAGAAGGGGCAGGTGTTGGAGATTTTAGAAATGGTTGCTTAGTCTATCTCCTTCTACCTCTGTATATCTCTTTCTCTCTCTGTTTATATACTTATCCTACAGTATAGGATTGATTGATTGGGAGTGAAGAAGATATATGGTATATGTAATACTATGTATGTATTCGGCTTATTATGGCTCCCGACTACGTCACGTCTTGTCTTGTCTTCTCTCATGAAAACCGCTATACACCTTTAACAATAAAAGCATAACAATAGAAGAGATATAAAAAATAACTGTCGAAAAAAATAATAAAAATCCCATATCCTTATTGGTGGTTGTTGTTGTTGTCCTTATCACATTGCAAATCTCATTTCAACTCATGGCATATGAACATTTCCCAAACCGAACCCCGTCCCCAACTGGTGTATATTGACTCACTGGAAGTAGCTGCGCACCGCGGCCTGGTTGTCCGGGTTAACACCCGCCAGGATCTGCTCTGCGTTCAGCCCGGTCGCGGCCACCAGCTGCTTCGCCGAGTTGGCCACCCGGCCGGCTGTCTGGCCCTGCAGCGTCTCCGCTTCCAGTGCCTGGACAATGTGTCCGAACACCTTGTCGGCGCTGGACATCACCACGGGGTTTTGTCTATTGCACGTCAGTTAGTATGGTCACTAAGTATTGATAAGCGAATTGGGGTCTTACTGGTCGATCAGCTGCGCAAGGAAGGAGTAGGCGTACGGAGCAGCCTCCTCGTCGAATGTGATAGGGAGAGTACCGATCCAGTTGGCCACAATCTCCTGAGCGTTCTGCACCTTGCTGGCGTTATAGTGCAGGATCTTGGCAATACTGGCCGATGCGTTCTCTGTCGCGAACACGTGCTCCTCACTGCGCGCCTGGTTGATCTGCGTCACCTGGAATAGACTGGGGATGCTGGCCGCCACAAAGTCGGCCCACGCGGCACCGCCCTTCTGGGCAGCAACGCCCACACCGTACGCCGCAGCCTGGCGGTTGGCCGCATTAGGGTCCTGCAGGCCGGCTGCCAGGGGCTGCATGATGTGGTCCTTGTAGTTCCACGACTCGGGTCCGCAGAACTCGAGCACATCGTCCATGATGCACAGAGCCCATTGCCGCTGCGTCGGGTCCTGGCTGGTGATGAACGCATCGTAGAAGGCCATCAGCTGCTCCCACGCCGGCAGGAATGTCGTGCCCTGGTTCTTGAAGATGGAGTGGAAAGCCTTGTTCATGTCACTGAGAAGGTTCTGGTCGTCCTCAATCGCGTATTCGTAGTCGAGGTTGTCCTCCTCGCCCTCCTCCGCCTCCGCGCGGTCCTCGAGACGTGCCTTCACGCGGACCTGGTAGTCCTCCAGCGTCGACTTGGCCGACTCAATGAAAGCCTGCATGTGCTGCTGGGTCAGGCAGTTTTGGCCGACCACCTCCACCGACTCGTAGAAGCACTGGTACATCTCCGCCAGTGTGTCGACTGTGGGCTCGGCGCTGAGCACTTCAATGATCTTCTCCGCCACCTTGTTCCAGATTCCGGCAAATCCAGCCGACTGGTCGCCGTGAGCCTTCTTGTACGAGTTCAAGAGCTGGGGGATCAGCTTAGCAGATGACACCCGCACGGGGTCGTGGAAGAAGAATGCAAGGCCAGGGACGGCAATCTTCTCCATCGTCTCCAGAACATACGGCTCGAACGCAGCCTCCAGGATCTGTGCGTAGATCGTGATGAGCTCGATGGCGGTGTTCTTGTCCTCCAATGCACTGGTCTTGATACCGATGATCTTGCCCTTCAGAGGCACCAGCTCCCAGCCCTCATCCTGCTCGACCTGGTCGATCTGGTCCTCATCGTCGAGAAGCTGAATGTCAGCCTTGGCAGCGGCAACCGTCAACAAAGGCGGCATGACACCAGGGAGGTAAGGGACAAAGTCCTGGCCCAAGACGCGGCACATGCGGCCCCAGCAGTGGAGAAGGTACTGCGATTGCGGGTCGTCGGCGTCGACAATGTTCTGTTGAATGTTACCCAGAAGCTGCACCAGGTTCAGCGCGTCCTGACCCATCTTCTCCTTGCCGACAGCCAGAGCAATCAGCGTGGCGCACTCCATAGCCTTGGCGCGAAGCAGGCGGTATTCCTTGGACTGCTCCTCCTTCAAGACGTTGAACAGCAAAGGCATCAGGGTATCGTAGTACTGCTCGAAGGCATTCTCAGCCGAGTCGGCGATGGTAGCGATAGTCGAAAGGGCCTGCTCCTGCACGTAGCGCTTGGTGCTGCGCAGCAACAACAGCAGGTGCTGCAGGAGATCGGCAAGGTACGGTTCCAGCACCTTTCTCTCGGCCTCCTCGCAGAAGTTGACCAGGGCCGCGGCCGCGTGCGCCTGGACACGGGGCTCGGTGCTGTTAAGCACGGGGATGATGTTGGTCAGCACCACAGAGTGGTATTTCTCCTGCATGGTACCGGCGAAATCAGTGCTCATCTGGCCCAGAGCGTTGCAGCCGGCATAGCGCACGCGCGGGTGGGGGTCCTGAAGAGCAGGAACAACCAATCGCAACACCTGGTCCAATTCGCCGACCATCAGGTCGCGGCAGCCTTCCGAAATGGCGGAGATGGCCATGAGAGCTGCATGGCGATCGCGCCAAGCAGAAGAGGACATCATGCGAGGAATCCAGGCGAAGGTCGCGGGGAGAATGATCTGGCCGCCAAGCTTGTTGGCCAGACGGTCCATGCACTGTTCACCCGCAACGTGGTTGAGGTCGCTTTCCTCCAAGTCAAGCTGTAATACGTCAGCATAACGATAACCATGCAAGCTATTGAACCAGAACGTACATCCTCCGACGCATTCCATTCAGAAGCATCTTCATCATCGACACCAATATCCGTCATCAAGCTCAGACACTGGGTCACCATCTGCTGAGCGAACTCGGAGTTCTTCTTGCACATCGAGGGCGCATAGTCGGCGAAGGTAGCCATCAATTCGAGAGCGTTCTGGCGGACCTGGTCACTGAGGTCCTTGTCGGCAATCACACTGATACTGAATGTAACCAGGTTGTTGAACATGGTCTTGAACATCTTGGGGCAGATCTCGGCCAACTCGATCAGAGACAAAAAGGCGGAGGAGAGCTCCTCGCTCTCGGACGACTCCTTCAACGGAGGCAGAATGTTGAGCAGATCGGGCATGAGGGAGAAGAACTTGGGTTGGGACTTCTTGGCGATCGAGCGGAAAAACGAAGCGAAGGCCTCCATGGCGGCAATGCGCACCTGTACACACGGCGATCAGCATACGGCTTGGAGCCTCAAGCCCGGGGTACGGCTGTGTTGACATACTGAGACAACGTCATCCTTGAAACCCTTGCTGAACACACCGACAACGGCCTCCTCGTGGGGCTTCTCGATGATACCGGGGGTAGTGTTGAAGATGCGGAAAGCGGCCTCACGCAGGCCGGAGTCAGGGGACTGGCTAGCCTGGAAGAGAACGCCGAGCAGTTCGGGCCATTGGTCGCCTAAGCCACATGTATCAGATTGGAAAGATCCAGCACGTATCAAGGTCCTTCACGGTGCCTACCGTTGTCAGTGTACTGTCTGGCAATCTCGGCCACGGCGTCGCCGATCTTCTTGCGGGTATCTGTGACGGACTCGCTGGTCAAGCAAGTCACGAGCTTTTGACGGATGATCAACCTCTGCTCGCCGGTGAGGGTCGAAAAGAGCTCCTTGGCCTCGTTCGTGACGGGGTCTTTTCGTGTCTTGGTCGCGATTCTTCTGAAGAGAACGGCGGAGAAAGAACGTGTCTGGGGGAGATGCAACAATGAGCGACCTGAACGCGAACCACCTTTTTGTCTCCTTAAACTGCCACTAGTCCGGAGGGATAAAAATAACGCTTGTTATAATCCGGGGGTGCTGATCTTTGACTCGATTGTCTTGGACCAACGTCCTTTTAAGGGCCCACCGAGGAAAAGCCAAGCAGGGCACTTACTAGCACATCCTCCGCACCCTGGATCTGCTCTGCCAGGCCCATCAGCAGGACATCGGGACGGCCTTGAATCCAATCATTGTTCAGCTGTTCCTCCGCCTGAGCACGAATGGTGTTGTCGGGAGTGGACAGCGCGCGCAGGAGCTGCGAGAGCGCCGAGTGGACCTCGGGGGGGAGTAGCGACATTTTGACAGCTCAAGTGTGAACAATCAACCCGAGCTGAAAACCACCAAGATCGCGGGAAATTAGGAGACACGGGGTCCAGCGGTGAACCCAGGTGGTGGAGGGTGGGGGTGGTGGTTGATGTGAAAGGGACTTTTTTTTGGCCCTTTGGAGGAGAAATTGTTTTGGTGGGGGAAGAAATAAGTTGACCAGTCGAGGGGGAAGAGGGAGGGCGGTATGGGCACCAAGCAACCAGACAGGTCAATCAATGAACGGGCAACCCGGCCAGGAAAAAAAAAATAAAAAGGAAGAAAAAAAAAAGAGTAGAGTGAAGATCAATCAATACGAATAAGTACCAGCGCGGGTAAAATCCCAGCTCAGCATCGCAGCCGGACAGAAAGCTGCGGGTGAACAGGAGGGGGGAGGGCAGAAAGAAGAGGGCCCGTGAATAGCGCGAGGCTTAGAAGATAGTGAGAAAAAGAGCCTGGATGTTTGATGGTGAAGGAGGGAAGAAAGGTCAAAAGTGACTGCAATAATACTAGACTAAGGCAATAACTAATATTCACGGCTTTCTGCTCGCGACGCCCCAATCAGCTTTTTCCAAAATCCTAAAATTTCCCCCCAAGGCCGCCGCGCTAGTCTCCTTCCGGCAAGCCCTTCAGGCAGCCAGGCAGTCAACCCCTCTTGCAGGATTCGGCAAATCATCCAGGAACGTCCCTTGGCTATACCGGTAACTATTATGTCTATCATGCAAAATATGCCAGTTATCTAATCCCTCCTGATGTTGATCCTGACGATGGTCCGGTACTGGTGGGTGGTCTATAAGTACGCTTCCCGAATGGGAGCAGAACATGCTATTGTAACCTTACGCTCTCACGAACTTAACGGTATCCGAAACAGAATAAACAGGCACAATTAGGACTTCGGCCACCACCATATGTAAGGAAGGAGATTGACCAATGCATAAGGGAAACTAGTCACACAAACGAAACGCTCTTGGGGTTACAGATATATGACACGCGAAAGGAGACGTCGAAAAGGAAATAGATACACGGGTACTTGCTTTCTTTCATCACGGACAGGTAGATGCACATCTCTTTACCGGGAAGTGGCCCGGCTCAGGATGAACACTCCCGCAATGACGGCCGCCAGGGTCACAATCGCACCCGGAAGCAGCAGGTCGTTGGGCACTCCGGCGATAAACTGCTCTTCGGGCTGGTGTACAGGGAAGGACTGAGCCCGGGGCTTCGCCACCAGGGACTCTTCCTCGGACCGGTCTTCGGAAATGGGACTCTTCTCCTCGATGGGCCGGGCTGGCACCGGCTGGGGTTCAACGGTAGCAGGAATAGGAGGCTGCGTAGGGTCGTGGACGAAGAGATCGACCTTATCGCGGTGCGATTGACGGGCAAGGCTGACGGCATCTGCCAGATCTTGGTCGGTGGTGATCGACACGGTGTCGCCCTCGTTGTCCAGGTAGCTCAGAGCGTAGCCCGTGTTGCTCAGTTTGCCCTCGTCACAGCTGGGAACGCCACCCACGGCATCCGCCTCGGGGCCCAGCTTGGCCGACACTTGAGCAACCAGCTCAGCAATGCCAGCAGAGGGGAACACGTTAACACGGTGCACACGGCCGCTAGGAGCTTTGAACTTGAACGGGAAGGGGACGTGCTCTCCGTGGTGCGGGTCCACGTGGAATTCAGAGTGCTCGTCGCCGCCATGGTGAGAAGCAGATTCGTTGGGGAGAACGCTGTCTCGGGCGTCATAACTAGCCTTCGGAGACTCAGGGCTGAGTACTGACCGCTGCGCGGGCTGCTGGCTCCCAGAGACCATGGAATCGGACTCGTGATCCATCGACAGCCAAAACTTGTTCCAGGCCGGGCCCTCATCATCATGCGACTGCATGGTATTGATCTGATTGTAAGTTAGACGAATACTTCTGTCCTATCAAACATCCTGTTACTGACCTGTTCCAACGTGGCGTACGTAAGCTTCAGCACATCCACCATTCCCACAATCTCACCCGCATCGTTCATGACGGGCAGGTTGAGGTAATGTCCATCTATACATCCCCCGTATTAGTTTCTTCTCTTGAGCGTAGCAGGGGTAATTGGAGTGACTGACCGTGCATCTTGCGGAGCGCAGCCTGGATACTCATGTCGCTGGGGGCGAAATCAGGGTGAGGGGTCATCACGCGGACGACGCTGCAGGTAGACGGGTCAAGACCAGGAGCAATGACACGCAGCACAATGTCCTTGCTGGTGAAGATACCCGTGATAGAGCCCTGATCCTGTACGAGCAGGGCAGTGGTGTGGTGTTCCCTCATCAGAGCGGCGGCATCCTTGACCGTGGTGCGGACGGAGACAGTGGTTGGGGGCATGCCGTCCAAGACGGTCTCCAGCGTGGGGCCGGACATCTTGTGTCGTAGCGCTTCGACATACTGGATGATCTGCTGGGGTTGACTGGAGCCGAGTTCCGTCTGCACACCCTCCAATGCATCGTAGAGCTTGCGCGACGAACTGTATGCACGTTCCAACTTCTCCATCGCATCGTAGAAGCACTTTGTGATATCGAGAACACCCGAGATATCCTGGTTCTCGTCCATAACCGGCAAGTGTCTGAATCCTTTCCGGACCATGAGGTCAAGAGCGTCGGTGGCACTGGTATCCGTTCTCGCGCACAGAGGGTTCTTGGTCATAATCTCAGACACGGTGATTTCCCGCGCCTTCAGGCCAGTGCCGACCACGCGGAACGCGAGGTCCTTAGCCGTGAAGATACCAGCAATTCGGTCATCATCGTCAGTCACAAGCACGCAGTCTTCTCTCTTCGCGGCCATCAACTGGGCGGCTTCGGCGATGGAGGTGTTCGGCTTGATCTGGAGGGCTTGACTAGGTTTCAATGCGAGGACGGTACCGGGGGGAGCTTTGCGGGAGCGGTTTGCTCGTGCCGGGGCATGTCTCTTCTTGTTGAGGTCGGCCTCCAATTTTCGTCGGATAGCCTAAGTCCATGAGTGGTTAGAAAAGTCAATGGGAGGCATTGAGCAATCAAAATTTCGAAAACCGAGAAACGACTTGCAGGACAAGATTTTTTCCAGGTTCACCTCCTTTTTCTCCGAGGCAGTTGCAAACAATCCAAAGGGGGAAAAGCGTATCCATACCTCATCGCGCTTGGACTGGTTTTGCCTCTGACGGCTGCTGGCGGCACTCATGGTGGAACTGCCAATGTCGCTGGACGCGGTCTGGGGGGTATGAGTTGTAGAGGAAGTCTCTGGGCGAGGACGTGGAATGTGACTGTCAAAGTCGGGCAGCCTGCCTCTACCGACAGTCTTGTGGCTAATGGTTCCCTTAAAAGTGGGTGTGGATGACATGGCGCCGAACCGGAATGGCGGACCTGTGGTAGGCTGGCAGGTCTGTGTCTCACGAACCGGTCAAGAGAGAGCGGAGAATGCAGCGGAGCGGTGGAATGGAGACACGACCCCCGTGAAGGACGAACGAGGATTGAGAAGTGGTAATGAACCAGAGACAAGTCACGCAAGGAAGGCAGATGAAGAGGAAGAGGAAGAAGAGTAAAAAGAGGGAGAGCGAGACACAACGCGATGATCTGGAGGGACGAGAAAGATACGGCAGACAAGCCAGCAGCCACCAAGCCAAACCCAGGGGGGGGAAAAGGTAGAAGCAGATCCCAAGTGGATTCGGCTGGCCGAACTATTTGCTGTTAATGACAGTTTCAGGGAGAAAGAGGGATGGCACGGGGACCACTCACAATACTCGACCTGAGTAAACAGAATACCGTATTGGTGTACCGTAACTTTGGGTCGGGATGGGCCATGTGCGCTAGTCTACTTCGGAACGCGGCACGTGAACACCAGTCGGATCACCCAACTTTTTCAACTTTCTCGCCGATTGCCTGAGGCAGGGACGGTCAGGCCACCGTCCGCCACTCTCCCGATGTCACCCCTCCGCTTCTGCCTCAGGTGTCTACATCCAGCATTAACCGCCTGAGGCCACTCATCCCGTGACCCAGCTCGCTTAAGGGCATAGGGCTACCACACAAACCCGACACAACCTCATCCCGAAGAGACGACTCCGGAGCCTTTACGACAACCAAACCCGACAGCCAAGTACGCGACAACCTCCCTTCCCCTTCTCCCTGACTTACATTCTCTGACCCGTTGCTGCAGAGAAATCCGTCAAGATGGTCAAGAAGAGGGCGAACAAGTAAGACCGAACCCTTTCCTATCCCACCCATCCATGCCACATGCCATATATACATATATACACAATCTACGCACACCTGAATGAAGACGGCCGCACGGAAAAGAAAATTCGCCATACATTCATCGCAAAATGGCCCGGCTACCGTACAGTGTTGTGTGATTTTGGGGAAAATATGAAGAAGACTGAAGAAATGGCGAAATTAAAATCGAAAACATGGAAATTCGCAAATTCAAAGAAAAGGAACCGATAAACTAACCTCTTTTTACAGCGGTCGTAACAAGAACGGCCGCGGCCACGTCAAGCCCGTGCGCTGCTCCAACTGCGCTCGCTGCACTCCCAAGGACAAGGCCATCAAGAGATTCACCATCCGCAACATGGTCGAGTCCGCTGCCATCCGTACGTTCCACGATCTTCCTCCATTGATCTGAGTTCTTCCCGAAACCGTCCGCGCGCGCTGTCTGTTCGTTCCGAAAGAGCTGGGAAGTGGGGGTGTTACATGCATGTGTATGCAATGGATCGAAGCGAAATCAACTCGACCGGAATACGACATGGAGCAACAAAGAGAAGGAACCGATACAAACAGCGCGACGCACGAGTGAACGGAATTCGACACAACCTTGAAAGACAACACCGGACTGACTGGTTCTTTTTTTTCAACTCTACAGGTGATATCTCGGACGCCTCCGTCTTCACCGACTACGCCGTCCCCAAGATGTACCTGAAGCTGCAGTACTGCGTCTCCTGCGCTATCCACGGCAAGATTGTTCGGTACGCCACTCACCCACCCAAAACAACGATGATGAATGCGTCGAAACCATCATCGACCTTTAGAACAAAACACAAAGCTAATATTTAATCCTTATAGTGTCCGCTCCCGGGAAGGTCGTCGCAACCGTGCTCCCCCTCCTCGTATCAGGTACAACAAGGATGGCAAGAAGCTGAACCCCCCTCAGGCCGCCAAGGCTATGTAAGGAAGGAAATGACAACGATTTCAAAATAAAAGAAAAATGGAATTAGTTTAGGGGCCCTTAACTGTTGCTTCTTATAATTTTTCTTTATGTTGTCTGAAAAAAACCACACCATAACTTCTTTACTATACTTTATGCGGAATTCTTAAATGGAAATGAACGGGTTTCAGTTTCGGGGTTGAAATGAATTATGCGCGCGGAGTCGTGTCTGAAAGACGAAATTCTATACCAAACTTTTCTAAAACGAAGAACAAATCTCTTTCTATTAAGCTAAGCTTCTTCTATCTGTTGTCTCTTGCTTGTTATCTAGAGATACTAGAGGAAAGAGATGTGTGATTGTAAGGATTTGCTCTATATGATCTACTATTGTTGGAGGGGTTGTCCGCGAGGTGTGCCCTAGTTGTAGGCCTGATACTACACCTCCATAATTACATAGTAGACGACGGTTCTGGTCCTTGTAGTAAACCCCATAAAGAATGTGAAGAGGATGGTACTATGAATACTATCTCATCTATCGTTCAAAGCCAGCTGTGGGTGATTGTCTACGATGTATGGGATGTCAAAGAGTGTAATATGATATATCGGGTATCATGCTCGCGATCTCTATCAACTAACTAGTGCCACAAACAATATAAGTACACCATCAAGGGTACAAATAGCCCTTCTCGAAATAATTTCCATACATGTCTACCATCCCGCTTCGGCCCTTTGGCGCTGGGTTTCGGACAATCTTCACTTCCCCCTTCCAGTGTCCTTCTAAGTAATGAGCAATGGGTGAATGAGGCGCCGATGCCGTCGCCAACGTGTTTATGCTCGACGACGGCGAGATCGTTTGGAATGAGGAGACGGAAGGAGAGAAGCGAGAGGACATGGTGCCAGCAGTACCACGTCTTCTGCGATCTCTCCTCAAAATTTCCTCATACTCTGCCTTTTTACAACGTCGGAATGCTGCCAATTCGGCGACCAGATCAACGTCTGGTGCGTCATTCTGCGGCCCCATTTCTCCATCCTTGTCCAAGTGTGGGCTGTGCGAGCGCATGTTCCGAGGTGTAGTCGATGGGTCGACTGAGTTTGATCTCGAGCGTAAAGGATCTGGATGAAGCTTACCTGGTGAAGAGGCCAGATCGGGTTGTAAGGGGTGAACATCGTCATCTTCTGGAATCAACGTCACTTTCTCGTTCAAGGCTGCCATAGGGAAGTATCGCCCTGAATAGAAATCGGGTACTCCGCATTCTTCTTCACCAAAGAAGCTGAAGTCGCCTATTGCTGCTGACCATAGCCTCTCCGAATCGCGATCACCGGTGCTTGACTTTGAAGCTCCTGCCCGGTAGTTGGCTGGCATCCATCTAGATAACTTGTTGGACCTAACTGAAGGTGTAATTTCAAGCACCAAGCGACGCAGACCAAACAGAGACCTGGCACGTTCTTGTTCAGCTTTGGCTCGAGCTCTTCCAGGTGCGAGCGAATAATCCGAGCCCGCTTGTAAGGTTGCAAGTACTGCTTCATTTGAGCAAGCGGTTATGAATCGAATAAGCGATTCCAAGATCGGCGAGTTCGGCGGTACGTGAGATGGAACGTCGGTCAAAACCAATGTTTCAAGATGAGGGACCTGCGAAGGATGCAGGTACGGAAAATAATACCTTTTGTTATCACGTCGAGGAAGACTTTTCGGCCGCTTAGCAAGCAACTCCTGGATCTTCTGGGCTCGATAATCTTCGACTAAAAGGGGAGAAGAACATTGCGGGATAGACCCCGCTGCACCCACCGAGATGCTGGAAATGCTAGAGAAAGAGATATCATGGGGTAAGCAATTTGAAGACCTTGCGGCAGAGGTATTGCTCGGGCCCTCATCATCACTGACTTGGTCTGCCCCGATCACCTCGGGAGCGAAGACAGAGCCTCGTCGCAGGTCAGGTAGTGGTTCGTCTTCATAAATAATTGGCTTTCGACCGCGCTCGGCGGGCTGCGAAGGCCAATCCGGAGATTGTGGGACTGGTGAACCAGGAAGCTCGAAAATCGGTGCTTCGTTTGATGCTAGTTCATAAATCTGATGGCTCGTACTCAACTCTGCCATTGTACGCACTTCACTCTCATTCCCAGCAGGGAGCTCTGGTAGCAACATGTCCGCCGTTGAGGTCTCCCTTGACGGCGCATCAACTGTACAGACGGCATGATGAGCTCGAAGATAGGTGAGGTTTCCCTTGGCAACCGTCCCCAGGATGGGAATCAATTTCTCAGCACCAGGAAGCTTGTGGGAATCGTCATGAGGCGAAGCAAGAGAGCTCTGGTTTCTTCCGATAGACTCTATAGTGTCAACGGTTCCCACATCTAGAGCGTGCAGGCGAGACGAAAACAAAAGACTTGCGGCCCCTTCCACAGAAATAGGATTCTCGGCGATATAGAGGTGTGTTATGCCTGCATGGGACAAATCCTCAACCCAGGAGCGCCCTGTCAATGGTTGTGTTAAAGCTTTCAGGATTTGTTCATCTAAAAGCGGGGTCCTAAGAAACCTCCTGTCAGACAGTAAGGGTCTCGATTGCGGAGAGTGGGCAAGGGATCCCAGTGACGCTAGTGTCGCTCGTTGTAATCTATCCTCAGCACCAGGGGGTAAGAAGGATGCTTGCAATAAAGAACGTATGGACATATCAGTAAGCAGATTATTGCGCAGGTCCAGGAATCGGACTCTGCGTCCGATGGCGTTGGCCAGGAATTGTGCATCATTGTCCTTTAAACCGATACCTCGAAGCTTGAGGACCTGGAGGTTTTCCAACTGTGATAGCGACGACAGGACTGTGCGATCCCGCGCAGGGGTGGTGTAAGACAAATCGAGATAAATCAATTCAGGGAAGCGTAGTAAAGTCTCCGCAATACCGTGTGATGTCGCATTTGGCTCACTATCCGCCAATAACAGACGGACATTGTAGGTCTGGGAAGCTGTGTCATTTTCTCCAAATGAACTAGATCTTCTCAAGGCGGTCATAGCATTGTGGTCAAAAAATGGTAGCTTTGAGACCATCAACGACTGGAGGCACGGTAGAGCATCCAGGATCTCCTTTAGCCACTCAGGTCGTGGACCACCATAAATCTCTGAGAGAGCAGGCGGCAGATGCAACGTATGGGTGAGCATCCGCACCTTGAGACGGGCATATTTTAGTGTCCTTCTGAACCTTGTGAGAGCGACTAGTGTGTCTTGTCAGCGCCAAACAGTCAAATCAAACAGTCGTGGGATCGTTCAGACCTACCATAAACCGCATCGTTATCCGTTCCAAAGTGGGAAGCGGGATCCCCCCACAGAAAGGGCATGAAGATACCATGCCATTTCTGACATACCAAGACCACTGCGCATAGGTCGCTTGACGGGATGTAGTGTGCTATAACCGACCATGCGTCTCTGGTGGTAGCGGTTTGGTAGGACGGTGGCACAGTATCCATTGTCACAGTTGTACGCGATGCGATTTCTCTCCACCCGGGTGATGGGGCCTTTAAGCCTTGTCCTAGATCAGGCTAGCAGGATGCGCAGAAACAGTCTGCAGCACATTGAGAGAAATGATGGGTTGGATAATTATCTGGACTGGTTGTCACACGCCGCTAAGCAAATGAAACTAAGAGAATAGCGGCCCCCAAAGAGATGCTGCTGACTTGCAGATGGGCGTCGGGCACTGCCACGGTTCACGATGGGGCGAGGGAAGGCCCGAAGGATCCATAGAGCCAAAGAAACTCCATACTTTAATCTGCCGTAGATAATGACATCCTACTGTTGGAATATGGAATATAGTAGCACCCCAACCATAGAGGAGAGAATAAAAGCTGAAGAAAAGGAGAGAAAAGAAGCGACGATAAGAACAGACACTGTTATCGTATGGATACAGTAATTGTACGGCTCTCTTTCTGACGTCATCCCCCGCACGGTCAGCAAACCATCGCCGACAAATAAAACCACTGATTCACGGCGCTTAGATGATACGTACTGGCCTCCTCTCTCTTCCAAATCTCCTCTCTTCAATTCCCTTTACTTCATAGGCCAAAATGGAGCCATGGCAGCGAAACATTCGCAGGATGCACCAAGTCAGCGAGGTGCTCGACCTTGACCCTCAAAAGTCCGACATGATCGCCGATTTCGTCGCACTCATCCAAGCAATCCGCGAAGGGCTTACGCGAATCGATGATGATTCCTATATACCCGATTCACAGATCAATATGCTTTTCTTGACAAAGCTCAAGGAATGTCCTGATTGGAGTGACTGGGCATCTGCTATGCTGCGAGATGGTCGGATGTGCTCCTCCAATCCTGCGGAGCAGGTGACCTTTCAGGAGCTGGCCCAGTTGGCCATGGAGCAAGAGAAGATCCGTCAGCAGCGGGGAAGGGGTGCATGGGGTACTAGTGATTATGGTGCTGCCAAGAGAGGGTTTGCATCGCCATTGGAGGTTCCGGAAGATCCTCGCGCTCTCACTCAGGACGAGATCAACGCATTCGTGGTCAAACAGATGCATAAGGATGAGGCATTCCGAAATCGCAGTGGAAGTGCCCGAAGACATGCTAAGCGGCCCAGTCAGGAGGAAATCAATGACTACGTGGTCGAACAGATGCGTCGAGAACGGGAGCAAGCTACGAGGAATCGAAGTTACAGTCAACCGATGCAGGAAGGACCTGTTCAACGACCGGTGCAAATGCGCTGTACCTTCTGTGGCGATAGAAATCACCAGCTTTCAAACTGCTGGCGGAGATGGAGAGTTGCTGTGGAAGCTCCGAATGGGAACTACTTGCCTAAACGTGTCGAGTACAGGACTGAGTTTCCGGGTCAACCACCCATGTATCGCACGGGTTTCACGCTTTTTTAAAAGCCGTATGAGACTTGATAATGATTCTTGATTGTGTTTACGATTCTACTCACGTTTATCAGCGACTGGAGTTTAGCCAAGAGCATGGAGTTTGGAGTCTTTTAGCATCATGTACCCCTATGTTGAATATTTGGAGCGATTCCCCCCCTGTGCTTGAGCGACATACATGCAGGATTCCCATACATAGTTTGCCGTCATTACAATTTTGTTCTTAAGCTCTGAATCAATAGAAAAGCTTCTCATATTCCCTTCTCAAGGCAAAGGTGTAGCCCGGTGATAAGCAAGCGTTGGAATTCCCAATTTCAAGCTCTCGAGATCTTGGAAGGTTGGATCTGACTTCAAAGACGAAGAACTGTCCGGCCACTTCTTCTGCAGAAGCATGCTTCGCAGTCTCATCTGGACAGACACACATGCATCTGCCCACGCGCAGACAGCTCCAGCCAGGCCTTCTGCGAGGGAAAATGGGCGATCAGGCAGTCGGTAGATGTTAGACGTTGGCGTCACGGAACTTTGGTATGGTGGTGTTTCCCGCACATGCAACAGCATCGCCAGCGCTCTCGATAGGAAATAGTCACCGGTAAGCCCGGTATCCAACACTGTTTGGTTAGTAGTCTGTGTTCTCCCCATATACTTCTCCCTGGCAACTTGCATCTCTTCCTTATCATACTCAAAGCTGTCGTGCAGAAGCAACAATGGCCATGCACTACCGGTAATGCCATGACAGATCCCGCCACCTTTGGAAAGCAGTCCTTCTTCCCATACCCGTTCGCTTGCCAGGCGAATTGCTACGTCCCACTCTGGCTGCCAGAAGTTAGAGATCAAGGGCTTGTTCCGCCTGGCGCTTGCCATAAGGGTCAAGATGCCGGGACTACCATGACAAATCTGGACGAGAGGTGAGGAGCGCTTGGATGAAGGGCCACGATCGGGAAGAGTCGTTGGGAGGTGGCCATTATGAGCAATGCATATCTTGCAAAGGCCGGTGATTGTTTCCGCTATTAGGGGCAGGTAATTACGCGAAGCACCGTCGTTGAGCTCTTCAGGATCGCAGGCAAGGAGGGCCGCGAGTATGCCGGCTAGAAAGTCTTATCAGCTGAATATACCGGGAGATTTTCTACCTAGACGTAACATACACATTCCATGTACCCTAGTCAGATATGTTAGATTTGCCGTTTTGTTGCTCAGCATTTGTGACCATGGTGGGGGCATTACTTACGCTCCTAGGCCATACCGATCTTCATGCCAGTGCCACATCAACGGCAAAGCATTTCTCTCCCCATACTCCTCTAGATAGTCTTCTCTGCCTTGAAGCCCACCCTTGATAATAGCATCAATAAGGTCTGGAACAGATTCGAAAATGGATGTCAGAAGGCCTGTAGCCCTCTCGTCATACTTGTGAGCTCTCACGCTCAGCACAACCCACAATAGACCCGCTCGGCCATATAAAACTTCGTCCGTACCCATCATCCCATCACCGTGTGGTAGCATATGGGGATTTCCGATTGCCACTTGTACGACATTTCTGAGACATTCGATATCAGCTTCGGACATGGATGCACCGGATTGCGCAGCTGCAAGTATCCGCATCAAAGGTCCCACAAGCACACTTGGGGAGCCAAAAGGTGCTACTCTTCCGGGCAAAAGTGGAATATCAGGGCCATGTGGCAAGATTTGCTCGCTTGCAAGTCTGCGAAAGTCAAGAGGAAGTCCGACATCTTTGTTGCTGAACGCTTTGACCTGATGGTCCAGTCGGAGGAAAGCAAGAGCAATTCCTACAAGGGAAGATCCATCAGATTACACTTGCCGATATGTTGTGATGAAGCATATCAATCAACCGCTAACAGTGTGAAAGCTATGCGCATACCTGGAAATCCCACGTATAAACCTGTGTTGTAGGTTTTACCCCATTCGCTCTGAGGAGGACAGCCCTCCTGCAATAGACTTGCACCACGATCCACGGCAACTTGCAACTCTTTGAGAGCGTTTTCCAGGGTTTCTTGATTTATATCTAGCGGGCTCAAGTTGTTCGGATAATACTGGGGTAAATCTGTGGTTGACATACTATCGCGAAGTCAGGAGAACTACACTGGGGAGGAGCTATGTATAGACAAATAAAGCTAAGTTATGGGATATGGAGCTCAGTAAGGGTATTCAAGACCCAATTTGATTGATGATATCCGGACTGATTCGGATGAAGTCTGGGTCACTTGGCCAATAGCTTGAATACGAGGATGTAGTAGAGAGGGGAAGAGCCCAAAGATCTGGGTGACGCTTCTGCATCACCTGACCTGCATGATCTACATTCCTCGAAAAGCAACTCCAGGAATGTTTTCATCTATTGTAGTATGGCTTCTTCGGTTCAGATCATCCACCATGCCAGTTGTCTTTGAAGCTGTGCAGATTCGTCGAGATCCTCGCAACCGAGAGCCCCGGATGCGCCACAAGCGTCTGTTCTTTTGTCTCGCTTCTTGACGGCCTATCACTTTCTTAGCTATACTATCAACAAACCTAGGCAAGTGCATAAGCTATTCTCCTGGGATATTCAATGCTGAATATAGTATCCGTCAGGGAGTATTTTTTCTTTGGCTATAATGGGATGTAAGTCCTCCCTGTTTCACCCCGTTCTTGGGTGCACTGGCACTGTCTTGTGGACCTGTCAAGAACGCATGAGCTGACCGTGTAACACTCACAAACTCTACGTCGCGGTAGATCTTCTTACGATCTACAGGCTATAAATTTTATTGTAACTACTGGGAGGAGTCGGAAACTGTCATTGATTTCTCTCGTCTTCGTTGAGGACTTCATGGGTCCGAAGTTCCCTGCCCGACATTGGCCTCAGAAGGGCATACAAATGATCACCTACATTGGGATCTGTTTCCGACTTTGGGCCGCCCTCCCTATACATCCATCAATAAAATAACGCATGATTTGCTGTTTAGGACTCTTCTGATTTGTCACTCTGGTTATGGGTCGGTGACGTTTGTACGGAAAGCACCTCTTTTGAGGGGACCCTCTATACAATTCAGCAATTAGTTGATATTCCGGATATTATCAGACATTGGATGTTCAGGTTATCCGCTGACCGAACCATAGTTGAGCACTCTAGTCGATAGATAAGCCCAGAAAAGGTCTATCGGACAAATGCGAGTTGCCTAGCTGAAAGCCTGATGAGAAAAGAACGCATTTAGTTGACTCGGGTCAAAGGAGATTAAAAGAGCACAACAAATTCAGGGGATAAACAGAATCACTAGGATGTATTGGTATATATTACGGATCTCGAGCTAGGAATCATAGCCATGGCCATGGACGTGGACGATACTCGCGCAGTGATTGTCCAGTGGCATTCCTCCCCACAATACGACGAAAGCCTCTTATGAGGAATCGGAAACCCCAAACAGATATAACTACGTCAATTTCAACTTGGGCAGTTTACATTTCTATCCGACAGGTACGATCAGTATCAAGGCATCTGCAACTTGACGCCTAGAACAGAGACGTCTCCCTATGTCGCGCAGATGAGCGTTTTACGTCGCATCCATTATCTCGATCTACTAAACAACAAGCATATGGATCTAGTTTTACTGAAAACAACAACCAGTATTCTGGGCTAAATTGCGCAAATGTCCGTGACTTCCCCTTCAAGTCCTGTCTCTAGATACTCCACTTTCCCCCCAAACCTGTGCCATATCCACTCCCTCCCCTGTTTAGCGGTCGCAGCTACTGCTGAACATTTTGCGGCGCTTCTCGAGAGATACTGTTTACTGTATATTATTGGCTTGGATAATTGGGTCGATCGGCAGGCTATTCCCAATTTATGGTCTAGACGATCGACTTCAGCTGTGGCCGCTTCAGCTGAGCCAGCCTAGGTAATCTCGGTTATGCATTACTTCTCTGTGCTCGAGACGCGTACAATGCGTCTCTACTATTTCTCACACGAACTTGAACTGAAACACACGGCTGGATATCTACCCTATACCTGCTCATATTTGGCTTCTGTTTGTTGGTTAGGGGTGATTGAGGGGAATCTGCGCTAAGGGTACACCACCCCTGTAGCCTTTGAACATGGGGTAGGGAGATGGCAAAGACCACGTCCATCGCCACCGGATATGATCAGTCTAGTAGTTGCGACACCCTGCATACAGACTGCCCTCAAGATCATTGTATCATGATGTGAGCATTCTGTAAGCGAGCTGGTGAGAGCTATAGTATTAGTTACCAACGCGGCAGACGTAATGCTACTCGAGGTTCCAGTGAGCATATGAGAGAATAATCAATGGCAATCGCGGGTTATCTCTTAAGAGTTACTTGTTCACTGTCGTGTGGATCATTTAGGATCTTAGTAGCGAGCACTACATATGAGATCCCATGCACTGTAGAGTGATAAGTAGTACTACTACTATCATCATCATCATAGTACTCAAAAGTCCCACCCCACCACTCTGCTACATATCTGAGCGGCTACTCGGATGTCATTATGATGGAATTAAATGACCATAGTAGTACATTGAAGAGAAACTCTATAGTGTTCATAACTCGAGTAATAGTGTTATACCAGCACCCCGGTCTAATGTCCCGAGAAAGTATTCTTGTCAAAGCTGTATTCGAATTATACTGGAATCTGGTGGGGTTCGAATGATTAGACCAGAGGAACGGTTCAGGGATGTGGTGGACGAAGTGGCCTCAGATGATGAGAAATCAACATTGTTCAGCAGATGGATATGAACACAAAGCAATACAATAATATGCTAGAAATAGTACATTTGATATAAGCCCATTATGAGAACTTTGTTAATGTCAAGGTAGTGTTTTTGAGGGGGAAACGCAGCAAATAGGGCTGCGGGGCGCGGCATGATTGGTCACCGCCTCCAGCACTGGAGAGTTTCGATCCCAAAGAAGCTCGGGGAAATTTTGGTCGAGCAGCGATATCGAACCCCCGACCAGCTAGGACACTCAGGGCCACGATCTCATCTTTCTATAGCCCCTTGTCCGTTGGCTCACAAACTCCCTTTTTCTCCGCCGTCTTTCCCTGAAATAATCTCATCAAAATGGCCTTCGCTGGCCAAGCACCCACGATCATCGTGCTCAAGGAGGGTCCGTCAACCCGCCCGCATTTGCATTGGCATCTGTGTGTCATCGCTGAGAGATTTTGCTGACTTCGTTGATTGTTCTCTTTTGTTTCAGGCACCGATACCTCCCA